GCAGGGTCTACACAGGGCAGTTAGAGTGCTCTGCTCCCCCCGCCACCTACCCCCGCAGAGTGGTCTGCAGTGCCAGGTAGTCAAGTGGGTAGGCTATTTTGAGTATGGCAGCAGATCTTCTTGAGCGGCCTCTGTCCATCAGGCAGTCCAGTTATCTACTGCTTTACTAACATGTTCCTCTTTTCAAGGTACCCAGCTACTGCTGGATGCCTGTGTCCGCAGTAATGTCCAGCACTTCATCTACACCAGTACCATAGAAGTGACAGGCCCAAACTGCAGAGGGGACCCCATTTGCAATGGGGATGAAGATACAGCCTATGAGAGCACATCAGGATTTCCTTATGCCCAGAGTAAGAGACTGGCAGAGACGTCTGTGCTGAAGGCAAATGGCCAGGCACTGAAGGATGGTGGCATCTTCCTGACATGTGCCTTGAGGTCCATGTACATCTTTGGAGAAGAATGCCCGTTTCTCCAGAATCACCTGGATAAAAGCCTCTTGAACAAAAATGTCTACCTGCGGATTTCTAGGAAGGAGGCTCTGGTGAATCCTGTATACGTGGGAAACATTGCATGGGCTCACATCCAGGTGGCAAAAGCTCTGAGGAACCCGGAAAAAGCCAAGCACATCAAAGGGCACTTCTACTACATCTCTGATGACACTCCTCATATGAGCTATGCCGACCTAAATTATGAGCTGACCAAGGAGCTAGGGTTTGGGATTGAGCCCCACCTGCCCATGCCGCTGATGATGCTGTACTACTTTGCGCTACTGCTGGAGGTTGTGAGCTTCCTGCTTAGGCCCTTTGTCAAATACATCCCCTCCACCAACCGTCACCTTGTAATCTTGCTGAACACGCAGTTCACATTCTCCTACAGGAAGGCATGGCAGGATTTTGGCTACGTGCCCCGCTACAAATGGAAAGAAGCCAAGCAGCGCACCAGCCAGTGGATTGCCTCAGTGATTCCGCAAAGGAGGGAGTACCTGAAAAACAAGGCTGCCTAAGCCTGAGAGAAGCTGAAGCAAGGCAAGACGAGCAGGCCCATGAGCCACAGGTGAGCTGGAGGAATTGCAGTAAAAGACGACAACAAAGCATTGAAATGTGAAATCTGTGTAATGAAAAATTGGAATGAATAAAGAATATGAAACTCTTCATTTGTTTGTGGTGGATGGGCTGATTTATTATCACGGTTACTGTATAATCTACAGCCACATCTTCCGCTCTGCAACACAGATATTTTATTTGAGTAGAGTCTCTTCTGAAGTATACTCAGCCCTTCCCTTTCTCTTAACTTTATCTGAGACTTTTGGAAAAGGACAAAAGGCTCCATTATTATCTCTCCCAGCAGTGTTTGGATACCCACCCACACACGCCACACTCCACGTACCATCATCAGATTATATCCATATAAAACAGGTGGGAGCAACCTGACTGTAGAAGCTCTTATAACAAATAGGGACAGTAGTCCACCTTTTCAAAGTGGTGTCTAATATTTTTGTTTCCTTTTTTAGGATCCAACTTTAGATACCTTTCTTAGGTGCCCAAATATGGGCTTCAGCTTCTAACTTTATGGCCCCATTTTTGAAAATATATATGGAAAATTTCCTGATATCATATGCGTTAGTCAACTGGGTAAAACAAGTTCTACTGTTCCTGATTCTGTTGCTGATTTGCTGGGTTACTTTGATCACGTCACTAACCTTTTTGTGCCTCAGTTTCCCTTAGCTGCATTACAAGAAGAACACCACCTACTCCCAGGACAGTTGTGAAGATTACTTAGCTAATGTCTACCCATCAATTTGAATGTGCAAAGCACTATATAAGTGCAAAGTAATATTCTATTAGTGCTTTGTGGTGGGTAATGCCCTTGGATATCTTAAGGCTGTCAGCCTATAGCCCCTTAACTTGCCAATTACGTAACTATGGTAAATTTGATGGAAGCCCAGTAAGAGCAAAGGACAAAGGCAATAACAAAATTAAGAAAACTGATGTTGCAGGAAAGCCATGGTACCTAGACGGGGTTTCCCTGCAAAGTTCATAGATTCCAAGGCCAGAAGGGACAGCTGTGGTCATTTAGGCTGCCCTCTGTATAACACAGGCCACAGAACTTACCCAAAATAATTCCTTTTGAACTAAAGCACATCTTTTTCAAAGAAAACCAATCCTGATTTAAAAAATCTTCTGAATGTGATCCAGTGCTGCATTGTCTTCCTGACTCTACAGCCAGCCTGAAACAACCCTAAGAGGTGGGAATTTCTCTGTTCATCTCAGCATGGTGTTAACACTGAAACTTAATGATACAAATTAAACTATTAATAGACTTCATTTTCAGAGGTGTTGAGCACTCAAAGCCTCCACTGGGACTAATTTTCTGCTGCCTCGCACCCTATTGTCATTTACAACACTGGTGCAAAATGTTACCATTTTGCTTTAGTATAATTGCATACCTACTTTTTTTCATAGATTCCAAAGCTAGTAGGGAACCCTGTGACCATCTAGTCTGACCTCCTGTTTGACACAGGCCACAGAATTTCCCAAAAATAATTCCTAGAGCAGATCTTTTAGAAAAACAACCAACCTTAATTTAAAAATTGTCAGTGATGGAGACTCCACCACGACCCTTGATAAGTTGTTCCACCAGTTAATTACTCTCACTGTTAAACATGTACACCTTATTTCCAGTCGGAATTTGTCGAGCGTCAACACGCAGCCATTGGATCATATTATACCTTTCTCTGCTAGACTGAAAAGCCCATTACTATATGTTTGTTCGCCATAGGTTCCCATATAGGTCCTTATAGACTGAGCAAATCATCCCTTAACCTTCTCTTTGTTAAACTAAATAGACTGAGCGCCTTGAGTCTATCACTACAAGGCATGCTTTCTAATTCTTTAATCATTCTTTGGCTCTTTGCAAGATACACTGAAGTGAAAAAACAATCACTCATTGACTTTAGTGTTGCCACTTAATCCCTCCCCACATTTGTAACTGGTGAACAGTTTGCAGATGCCTCCAGCTAACTAGGACTGCAGCGGCATAGTACTCATTCAAGCACTGTTTTCAGTCTCAGGTAGCTGGAGGCCTCTGTTCAGGTGCTCAGCAGTTAAAAGAATGGGAAGCTGATTTTCACAGGGACCAAGTATCCACAACTCTAAAGTCAATGGGTGTGAGATTTATATATATAAAATTCTTCCCCCATTCCCCTTGCACATTGGACCACCAGGAATACAAGGGCTACAGACCCACTCAAACTGTTTCTGTATAAAATGACTTATTAGCCCATAGCTTTCTCATCCTGAAGGAGACAGAAAATGTCTCCCATAGGCTGTACTGTACATTAATAATCACTGTATAGAGCCAATGTTGGGTTAAAGCCATCACATCTCACATCTCAAGAAAAGAGAATTACAAATGCATTAAGGAACAGATGTGCAACTAAAATCTGGAATCGTCAGGTCCAGCCTACGGTTCACCTCAACCAGCTAATAGATGCCAAAATGCAACTTACCCTGTCTATTCTAGAGTTTTACAAAAGGTATTTTAAAATGTTTTCACTAACATGTTTTAAAAATACACATTTTATCCTTCTCTAGGCAGGGCTCAAATAGTCCAATCCTGATAGGTGCTCAATATCTATAATATGCCTTCTATGAGAGACATATGCTCAACTGATCAGGCTCCAAATTAAAGGCACTTTAAATAATTAGTGTCCCCAAAGAGACAAATGTTTCTGGTTTTGGTTTTGGTTGGATCAGTTCTGTGAAATAAACTGCTAACAGCAGGCAAAGGAATTGGAGGTTTGGCAAAATGAAAGTGTCAGACACAGAGGTCTTGTCTAGCACACAAACTGATTGGGAATCGGCCTTTAAATGGGTTTTTTTGTGGTGTGGGTTTAATTTTGTGAAATCATTTTAGAAACCAAGTGATGCCCTGTCCACACAGTACCAGCAAGAGAGAGACAGCTAAACATGTTTTAAAAACAGTCTCCTAACAGAGCAGGTCCTGCAGCACAGGCAGGGCTGGAGCAACAGCAGCTGCTGCTTAGCCCCAGAACAATGTGCCGTTATTTTGGTTGACATAGGAAGCAATGAGGGTCTGATTCTCCGCTATCCTACTCCTTGTGTTACTTACACTTGCTCAAAGTGAGTTCAAAGTCTAAATGCTACCAAATCAGAATTCTCCACTCACTCACACCACTCACTCGCACCAGTGGGTCGCACTCATTTTGCATAGGTGCAAATAATTATACAAGTGCAAGGCTGGGGGGAACAAGACTGAGTACTTCCCCCTTGTGGTTGCTGTGGGAACTTTGAGTATCCATGATCACCTTCCTATCAAGAATTTGTGTCCAAATAAGGGCTGTTTTTCATGCCATTTGATTTTGCATACCTCCCTAAAATTCTTTTTAGGGACCTTAGAAACCAGCCCTTAGTTTTTAACAAATCTTTTGCAGTTTACCTGACCTGTGGAGGTGCTATTATGGTTGATAATATTGTGGCTGAATACACTATGAACCGATAGGCAGGGTATTGACTTGAAATGTGGCTGCATACAAATGGCACAAGCACAGTCTGCAGGCAGAGGACAAGGCTCTCCTCCTAACATTAGAGTGAACAAACATAATCTTTGGACAACATGGTATGGAGCTGTGACCAGGGCAAGCCAGAGGCAAACTGAAGTATGAGGCTCCTGACAGTAAAACTCCAGAGCAGCTAAAAGATACATTCAGCCCTGGTTCACTCAACTAACTCCAGGGATGGAGACAGATCTCAGTGTGTACTAGACAAATCATTTTTGAGCAGTGACCATGAAGGCCCTGTCTAGACTGGGAAGATGAGGTGTGCTTAGCAAAGATGTTTGCTAACACCAGTTAATTCTTCTAGTCTAGACAGGCCCTAACAAGACAGCTTTGTTCCTCTTCAGTGAAGCTGACTGTAAGCTATACAGGGCATTCTACCCTAGAAACAGGACAATAGGAGAGAAGATGGGAGAACATAGGGTATTTTTAGAAAAAAAAAGTTTTATTTCAGAGGGGGAGACACAACACAACAGAAAACTAGATATTATAACATGTACCAGAAAACTGGGACATTTTTGCCCAGATTTAACTGAGCTCCTAAAATAGCAGCTACAAATAAATATAATCTAAAATGAGGAAACCATTGCTGGAGACAGTGCCAGAGAGAACAAAGGGCACTTTGTCTTCCTCAGTTCAGTAAGTGAGGCATTTCCCAGGACATTGGCTCTGACATCTTATGAGCCAGGTATCTGTCTTGGAGCCTAATTTATCATTTTTGACTTCTTAATAAGACAACGAGATATATATTTCCCCTCGTCCCTCTATTTTGCTGTACTTCAAACAATGTTCCTTAGCACCAAATTCCCTCAGCGCCCTAATTCCTCCCACCTCCCAGCCCTCTGAACCCCAAATGATCAACTCCCCCAGCTGCCTCTCTCTCCTTGTTCCCCCGATACGCAAATGATTGATTCCTATCAACATCAAACTCATTTCCAACACTCAGCACCCCCCATCCATCCTAGAACAATCTACTTGCACAAAGAATGTGCCCCCTCCCTTTGTAGTTCCTTCTCGATGTCATTACACCATATAATAATAATTTATGCATCAGTTTCTGTGAGCAGGACAGGGGCTCTCATGGCTGTGCTTTCTACTCCATGTGGAGTTTATGGTGTTGGGCAAGGTGACTCTTGTATCGAAAGCTTTTCCCACACTCAGCACATTTATAGGGTTTCTCTCCTGTGTGGATTCTCCGGTGCCTGACGAGGTGTGAGCTCTGGATGAAGCTTTTCCCACATTCAACACATACGTAGGGTTTCTCACCCGTGTGGGTTCTCTGGTGCTGGGTAAGTGTTGAGAAATCACTGAAGCTCTTCCCACACTGAGCACATTCAAAGGGCTTCTCTCCGGTGTGGATTCTTTGGTGGTTAATAAGGTGAGAGTTCCGGCTGAAGCTTTTCCCACATTCGTTACAATGGAAGGGTCTCTCTCCTGTGTGGGTTCTCTTGTGAGTGAAAAGGTGAGAGCTCACACTAAAGTTTTCCCCACATTCACTACATATGTAGGGTTTCTCGCCTGTGTGGGTTCTCTGGTGTTTAATTAGGTCTGAGCGCCAGCTGAAACTTTTGTTACATTCAGTACATTTATGAGGTTTCTCTCCTGTCTGTGTTATCTCATGCTGTGTAAGGTTCGAGCTCTGACTGAAGCCCTCCCCACATTCAGTATATACATAGGGTCTCTCCCCTATAGGAATTCTCTGGTGGATGATGATACCTTGGAGAGCCTCCAAATCTCTTTCTGGATGAATGGAGTTACCCAGTATCTTACCAGGAAGGTCTCCCTGCTGTGTTTCTGACATGTACTGGCCCTCATAGGCCTCCTCCTCATCAGGGCTCTGGAAGACATTCTCTTCAAACCCCTCTGATATCGTCCCATACTGTTCCACATTCTCAGGACCATCTTCCTGGGGGTTCTTCTCCTCATTCTCATTCACACTCTCACTGTCTCCTTTAATAAATAGAAGCCAGACATGAGTGTTTGGTAGAAAAGAAATCTAAGAAAGGGAAATTGCACAGAGTATGAGTCAACTAAATAAAATGTAAGACTGGATGTGAGAAGGAAAATCCCAACCCCCACTCCACAAAAAAAAGAAAAGAAAAACAGCCATTCCCCAATGAGGAGAGGGCAATTTTGCTTCAAAAACTCAAATGAACATTAGAGAAAAGTTGAGGGGGGGGCGGGGGGAGAGAAACAGAACTCTGGCCGGAAGTCAGTCAGGACTGGTGGAAAACCATAAGTGAGGCTTACCAGAAATAACTGCTGGCTGTAATCCCAATGTGGAGAAGATGAGACAGTATGGCAAGGGTTTTAAATGAAACAAAAAGTTGGATTTCCAGCCATTTCTGAATTTGCTTAACTTATTCCTCACCTGTGGAGGCCCCAAAGAGGATCTCCCTTTTCTCGGAGTCCTGGAGAACTGGAGCACACAGCTCTTCCTCTCGTTCCATCCAGAGATGATGGCAGGCTTAAGGACCCTGCTCATGGCCATTAAAAGAGTCAGTATCACACCTCGTTACATCGCCATCAAGTATTTCCTATTAACAACCCCCAAAGGGGCACAACAAGAACACAAACAAAAACTCATGAGACTAACTTAAAAATCATTACGTGTCCCCCATCAAGCATTCCCAAGTATGACTGAACCCTCAGGGGCACTAACGAAGTAGGGTATGTCATACTTAATTTTCAGTCTGTCTTCTGATTTTATATTTCAGTACAGAAAGACCACCCTGATGATATGTACATGAAACACACACACAAGGAAATACCCTCCTCTTCCTCCTGACAGACAGGAGGGGCACTCTCCCCAGCATCCTCCTATGCTCACCTTAAGAATCCCCTGGGGATCTCTCCCTAATTACCTGCCATATACACCTTGATCTGGGTGCTGGCACCTTTTCCCCTGTCCCGCTCCTCCTAAGGCCCCTGTCCCTCACACAGTTTCGCAGCAGAGGTCAGCACAGAGCACCTCTCGTGCCGGTGGAGGGAAGTAAAGGTCACTCTCCTCTATCTCTATACATCCCCATTGCTTTCACTTTTCCATCCCACCCTCCCTGTCATTACATTAAACTGCAAGGGAGCTGCTGCTTCTGCCTGGCTGGCTGGCAGGCAACTCCCTCACTGCGTACAAAGCAAGGAACAGGGTAGAAGCTCTTCAGGGAGCCAGGGTGTCTCACAGAGGAACCTGCGCTCCAAAGCCACCTGCTTGGTTGCCAACAGAGGCCTCTAGAGGCCATAGTCAGAAATACTGAGCTGAAAGGCAGCTGCTAGCAAGTTTGCAAGTGGCTGCTAAGACGAAGTGAAGTTATAAGAGTCATAGAAATTTCACATGAACTGGCCACCCTGAGTGTTTGGTGCAATGCACTTCCACTCAATATTAAAGTTACCCAACCCTTCTACTGGGAGGAGATCTGCATTAGTAGAGAATATAGCACCGCTAGATTATGAGCTCTCTGAGGCAGAGACTGCCTCTTATTAGTATAAAGCACCTAGAACAACAGGACCGCAACTTTAATTGTTTTTTTTTAATCAAAAGATTCTACATTAGAGGCTTCAATCACAATCCCATTCATTACTCACAATACATTTGCACAAGTTGGCAAGACCTGAACAGTTACATACACATTAGGGGTCAGGAGAACCAAGGGCGGCTCTATGTTTTTTGCCGCCCCAAACATGGCAGGCAGGTGGCTTTCGGCAGCGCGCCTGCGGGCGGTTCGCTGGTCACGCGGATTCGGTGGCATGCCTGTGGGAGGTCCGCCGGTGCCGCGCCATCGGCGTCCCCACCGCTGAAGCTGCGGGACCGGCGGACCTCCCGCAGGCAAGCCACCGAAAGCCATCTGCCTACCGCCCTCACAGTGACCGGCAGGCCGCCCCCTGCGGCTTCCCGCCCCAGGCACGCGCTTGCTGCGCTGGTGCCTGGATCCGCCCCTGAGGAGAACAGGGTGGGGGAATTCAAAATTCCAAAGACAGACCAAAACACATTACATTACACATTAAATCTTATTTATGAGGCAGTCTGACTCATGATTTTTGAACTTCTGTAGTTGGCAATACTGCAATATTTTGTTACCCACTCACTTAGCTTTGACAGTAGAGGGCAAGTTTAAAATTGCTTGAGGCCCAAAGTGCTGCCAAAATAGCATCCAGGCTCATGTGAAAGGATCAGTCTCTCTTCCTCTTTCCTCAACCATCTCAACTGACTATTGACACCCTTTGCCCCCAAGAAAGGTCCCTCTCAGCAGTGAAGCTAGGAAAGGGAAAGAGAGGAGCAGGAGAGCAAGTTATGTCTTTGGGGCTACATTTGCAGTTGAAAGCTGCAAGGTCATTTTTTTGAATATCAGTTAAAAATTCCAGGGCAGGTGGGGAAGAAGATAAAAATTGTTGTCTTCCCCAAATTAATGCCCCCATTAAGTATTACTATTTGCAGCTGGATTGCAGCTAGTTTACCACCTAGGGTCAGGTCAATCCAAATGTGGCTTTACAGTGTACCTAACCAGAATTTAGCATAATTACAACCTTAGCAATTCAGGAGCCTGTCTACAAAATCCACCCAGGCAAGAAGAGTTCCAGTACTTGCTATATATGACCTGGACTCCCCATCTAATCTATATACTGACAACTGAGAAGGGAAGCTACTGGTATCAATGAAAATCTACGGCCAGTAGGATTAAGCCCAATAAGAAAGATTTTTTTTCCGTTATATCAAGAACAAAGAGCCAGATTCAAAAAGGTATGCAGGTGCCTAAACTGCCTCTTTAGGCACCTAAGTCCAACATTTGGTGCCACTGACATTCTCAAAATCGCCACTCAGATGCCTCCTAATTCTGTAGGTGTCTAAGTTTCTACCACTAAGCATACACAAAGCAAAGTAAGCAAGCCCTGACGCTGCCCCATAGCTAACAAGATACTTGGTGCCCTCACTCACAACTAAGCCTCAGTGGGATTCTCAAAATAAGCATTCCCTACATCTCACCAGCAGGGGCCCAATCTTCAGAATATGCCTGTAGGATCAGCCTTACACAAAAGACAGCTGAGAATGAGCAGGTCAGGAATTTTTCAGTCTCAAAGGTGCAGATAAAAACAGTTAACTATTCATTGGAGCAGGGATCTGATCCCAACTCTCCTGCATCCCAGGTGAGTACCCTAATCACTGGGCAGTGGAGTTGCTTTCTCCCTGTCCCCATTAATATTTATTTCTACAAAGTAGAACAGCTCCAATAAGATAGATGGAGAGAGATCCACCTCAGAATACCTGATAGCCTGGTGGTTAGGGCACTCACCTAAGACATAAGAGGCCTAGGTTTAAGTCCCATAATAGGTGGGAGTGTCAGTGTGTGTGTCTTGCTCTCTGGGTATTAGAGAAAGGAATGACCTGGTTTAGGAGCCTAACTGTGGGGGAGGATTCGTGGCTGAGAATCCTAAGCAAAGGAGGTGCCTCTCTCCAGCCCATCAGCCATGTGACTAAGGCCCAAATCAACTGGACTTTACACCTTTGAGGATCTAGGCATTTCACTCCTGTTCAGTTTGCTGGCATCTGAGAATCCTCTTCTTAGGTGCCTAACTCTCCCCATGCATCATATAGGGGGCTTGCTGCCTAACTCGGGGCCGAGAATTCCATGAGGCAGCAGAGCACCTGAGTTACGCACTGCAACACCTAAGTACCTCTGTGAACCTAGTCCCCAAATCCTAGAATGGTATAGGGTTGCTAGATGGATGTGGTCAAACTGTCAAGGAGGCAGAAAAGATTGGAATGTTCAATAAATATTTTTTCTGTTCCGTATTTGGAAAGAACCTGGATGACACACTTGCAGCTTACACTGATAATGAAAGGTTTCAGAGTAGCAGCCGTGTTAGTCTGTATCCGCAAAAAGAAGAACAGGAGGACTTGTGGCACCTTAGAGACTAACAAATTTATTAGAGCACAAGTCCTCCTGTTCTTCTTTTTACTGATAATGAAACACTTTCTATTCCAACAGTAACCAATAAGGTTACATTCAACACCATCTCCTAACATTAAATATTTAAAAATCTGCAAGACCAGATAATTTGCACCCAAGAGTTTTAAAAACGTTGCCCAAGGAGCTCCTTGACTTTTACTACATTTTGGAATACTGAATATTTACATTGCCAAACAAACAAAATACTGATTTTTTGCAGGGATTCCAAGTTTAGTTGACAAAGATAACTGTGTTGACGTAACATACTTAGATCTCTGGCAGGCATTTGACTTATTACTGCACAATAGTCTGATTAAAAAGTCAGCATTTTACACAATCAATGTAACATTAAACAGATTAAAACTGGCTGATAGATCTCAAAAAGCAATTGCTAACTCTCTCACACTTGAAGTCTTTAAATCAAGACTGTATCCCTTTCTAAAAGACATGCTGTAGCTCAGACAGAAGTTACAGACTTGATGCAGGAATCATTAGATGAAATTGTATGATCCGTGTAATGCAGGGAACCAGATGAGACAATGGCCCTTTGGGCCTTAAAAATCTATTAATCTATCTATTAAATATTTATAACAGGACCATCACCAAGGTATCTGGGTATTAATAATAATTTCAGTCAGTGGAGAGGTTAATTATAGCAAATCCATATAACTAAATAAAACATAGGACTCCATTTTTAATACCAACCACTGTATATAAATATTCGAGAGCCAGTCTAAGGAAGGGGAAATAAACGGGAACCAAAAATAGAGAAGACAAAAATATACTGTCTCCCTCCTGGCCCCGCAGCACAATTGCCATGTAATCTACCAGTCTGGGCCGGCCAGGCAGTACAACGGGCACTAAACTGAGGCAAACAGAAGGTCCCCGTGGTTTGGTCTGGCCAATGGGGAGAACAAGCTGTAAGCCATTTAAACAGGACCGAAGAATCTGCTATACATCTTGGGGGGGAGGGGGGATTTTAAAGGTGAAAATAGAAGGAGAGATTCAGGCCACCAAACCCTAGCACAAGGAAGGAGAATGTGGTTCTCCTCTCATCAATATGTTCAAAAGGGTGACTGACAGAGACATGGGGAAGAGAAAGAGCTTGGGCCTTTAAATAGAGGGACTAGACTCTCCTCTGCCTTGTCTCTAATCAGTGCAAAGCAAGGGGGGGGGGGCGTAAAATGGTACCATTCTGATTTGGTAGCATTTTACAGCGACTTTTGCACAAGTGTACATAACTACACAAGGTTTGAGGCAGTAGAGAATCAGACCTAGGTTGTTACACTTTTCTGGGTCTCAGAGAAGGGTGGTAGGAACTGTTTTCTACAGAGACAGAGCAGGAATCAGACCTGGTTTCGTGTCCCATGGTACCAGTGGGCTCTGTTCACTCCCCTCTGCAGGTTGCAGTTACCAAATTATCAGTGATGGAGGAAGAAAGGATCTGTGGGGAGCTAGGGTTGAAAGTTGAGAGTTGCACTGTGCTTGCACTTACTCTATATCACACCTTCCGACAAAGCACTTAACATGCATTACAGGAGACCAGTAAGGGAAAGAAGATTAGCTCTTTTTGCTTCTTTAAGATGGATAAAGACAGCCTCGAAAGTTTTTCAAAAAAACAAAATGCACACAACATGAATAAGGGGGTTCTTTTTTGTTTTTTAACATTAGGAATTCAGGTTTACTCTGAAAGACTTTATTGATGACTGGAAAACTGGTAGGCATCACAAGAGACTGAAATCTGAACATGGGGAAGGGTTTATTTTTTTAGAGTCAAAATGCTTAAAAAAACTTTATTTTTGTTAGCACCAATTTATTTCCAGTAACTAATATGGTCTCTGCAGCCACCCACCACCAGTAAGCACCCACTGTGTAGCCTGGAATGCCCACCAATCTTGCCAGGTCCAAGAAAAAGTCCTGAGAAAGATGACCATGGGAGGCTGGGCTGCTCACTGGCTCTATGTACAAGCCAGAGAGCATTACTGGTCAGGGCAAGTGACCCTGGGATCTCCCTTTCACTGCTACTTGAGCCCATGAGTTTTCTATCCCAAATGCAGACAGTTCATCTCATACTCAGAATTTGCAAATCCATCTCCTAAGATATTACCTCAGTCTCAGCACAGCAATGCTCAAAAGGTGTCTAGACCATCACCGTGAGGGCTGTCTCCCCTATCACATTTATTAGACATGGGGTCCATACAAAGCAGCATGCAACACTCTGTCCCAATCCAGGGCCAAGATGCATTGCCCACCAAGAGATGGAGCTTCGATAGGCATCCGGTTGACATGGGAGAGCTCTGGTTTCCATGCCTTTCTCAGTCACTCTCCTGCTGTATGACCCTGTCACCAGGTCGTCCCTAGGGCGATGTGGGGCCCAGGACATAGGCAGCGAGTTTCTATCTGCCAGGGGGTACTCCCCCTGGCTCTGCCAAGGCCCTGCCCCCACTCCACCCCTTCCCCCAAGGCCCCACCCCTGCCCTGCCCACTTCTGTCCCCTCCCCCGAGCACACTGTGCCCTCACTCCTCTCCCCTCCCCCCCCTCCAGATGCAGCAAAAGAGCTGATTAGTGATAGGCACTGGGAGGGAGGGGGAGGTGCTGATATGTGGGGCCCGCCCGTGGGCAGGAGGCGCTGGGGGATGCAGGAGGTTGACAGGGGAGAGGGGGAAGTTGGTAGGGAAGCTCCTCCTCACCCCCGCCCGCCCACCTGCCTCACCTCTCTGCCTGTCTCCTCACAAAGCATGGAGCCCCACAAAGTGCAGGGTCTCGGGCAGTCGCCCCCATTTGCCATAACCTTGGAATGGCTCTGCCTGTCACTTTCGCTCCTTTGCCTATGTCAGGGGTGGCCAACCTGTGGCTCTGGAGCCACATGCAGCTCTTCAGAAGTTAAAATGCAGCTCCTTGTATAGGCACCGACTCCAGGGCTGGAACTACAGGCACCAACTTTCCAATGTGTTGGGGGGTGCTCACTGCTCAACCCCTGGCTCTGCCCCCACTCCACCCCTTTCTGCCCCCTCCCCCGAGCCTGCCATGCCCTCACGCCTCCCCGTTCGTCCCCAGAGCCTCCTGCACACAACAAAACAGCTGATCGGGAAGTGCCGGGAGCGAGGGGGAGGCGCTGATCGTTGGGGCTGCTGGTGGACGGGAGATGCGGGGGTGGGGGGGTGGCAGGAGCTGATGGGTGGCTCTTTGGCAATGTACAATGGTAAATTCTGGCTCCTTCTCAGGCTGGCCACCGCTGGCCTATGTCTTTTTAGATCAGAAGGCCTGGGGTAGTGACTGTCTCTGAGGAACACTTGATGGGGAGGGCTCTAAGTTACTACAGAGAATTCTTTCCCAGGTATCTGCCTGGCAGGTCTTGCCCACATGCTCAGGGTCTAACTGATCACTATATTTGAGTTGAGGAAGGAATGTTCCTGCGGGTCAGATAGGGAGAGACCTTGGGGGGGTTTCACCTTTCTCTGCAGCATGGGGCCAGATTACTTGCAGGTTTAAGTTAGTGTAAATGCTGAATTCTCTGGAACTTGAAGTTTTTTAATCGTGATTTGAGGACTTCAGTAACGCAGCCCGAGGTTGGGGGGCTATTGCAGGGTTGCGGGTGAGGACATTCTGTGGCCTCAGTGTGCAGGAGGTCAGACTCCAGACCCGGCGATGACAGTCCCTGACACCCTTCTGCCCTTAAAGTCTGTAAGTCTTATTATCTGTGTGAACAAGGGCACATGCACTGCGGCCCCGGGCCTAACGGGAGGAAGGGGAAGCTATAGGACGGGCTGCAACAGAAATACGGGGTTTGCTCGCCCAGGCCGCCCAGCCACCCGCCCCCGCTGTGCCACACCTCCCCTGACTCCTGCCCGGCGGCGGCTCCCTATCCCCGGACCACGCCCCCTCGGCCGGCTGCGCTGCTGCGCCCTGTCCGCGGCTCACCCGGCCGGGCCGATTCCTGCCTTCCCCGCGCCCGCGCCGCTCACCCCCCGGGCCGGGCGGCTCCATCGCGGCGCGGCTGGGCGCAGACGCCACGGACACGTCACGCTCCCGCCGCCCTAGCTCGGGGGCCGCGGCTGCTGCTTCCCGCAGGCCGGGGGCGGGGGTGTCCCCGCGCCTCTGCCCCGCGGCCCCTTGCGGGCGGGGGCGAGCCCGGTCGCCCCCCGCCGCGCGTGCGGCCGCCCCGCCCCTACCTGCCGGGCTCGCGCGCCGCGCCGTCTCCCCGCGCGCGGCCGGACAAAGGGCCGCGGCCCGCGCCGCCCCGATAACTGCCCCGCGCTCGGCCAGCCAGCGCCCCCCACCCCCGCAGCGCTCCTCAGCCACGTCGGCTGCGGCTGTCAGTCCGCGCGCACCGCAGGGCTGGGAGGCTTCCCGGCCGGGCCGGGCCGGTCTGTGCTGTGCGGGGCTGCCCCGCGCCTGCTTCCGAGCCCCCCAGCCCGCTCCTTCCCCCGCCAGCGCCGGCCCCTCACAAACCTGCCCCGGTAGCGCCCCGAAAGGGGAGGCCTGGCAGGGCCGCTGGCGGCTCGCAGAGTCTCCCCTCAGTTGTGTGCTTTGCAACAAACAGGGGCTGCCAACGTTGTGGGGTTTCCTTAAGTCCGGGGTTAGAAACACGAGAGGCCCCAGTGCTCCAGCTGCCTCTCGGCGGAGCTGAGGTTAGAAGTCCATAAAAACATCTGGCGCGTATAAGGTTAAGTACGTGGGGGAGCGTTGGAAGAATCAGGGCCTTGGAAAGAAAATCGCTGCTAGTCAAAAAACCCAAACCCCAAATGTTAGAAAAGAGCAACCCGGCAGTGGTCACAAACGTTTAAAAAGACAGCGTTAAGAAAATCAGCAAGGGTTAAGGGCAGCCAAGACAATTAGGTGAGGGATAAAATAATAATACAGTTGGCAAAGACTATGAACAACAACCAACAAATAGAACTAGTTCGATCTCTGTGAAATTTGCCTCTCTGCAAATGTCCACTGTGAAAGTTATGCATTTCACCCAGGATGGAAAATCAAATAAAGGGGAAAGTAGACATGGGCTCAAATACCTTAATGTTTTAAAACCATTGTGCCTTCCCCCTCCCTTTTCTTTGTAAATCTTTTGGTGGGGCCTTGATCCTGCAAACATTGATATAAGTAACTAATTTTACATAGGTATGGAGCTGTGTTGAACTTAATAGGCTGGTTCTCCTTACCACTTAGGTTGCACTGAGGGCTGGCAGGACAAACAGGCAGGGGTGGGGAGTCTGAGCAGCCCTGGCATGCAGCACAGCTTATCTCCACTGTGGTCTATGAGGGTCCAGCACAGAAGGTCAGTTTGGATGTGTGGTCATAGATCGATGCATATACAGATCCAGTGGCTTCAGTACCCTGAGCAATCAGTATATAAATAATTCAAGAGTCATTGGAGCAGGGGGACTGGACCCAGAGTCTCCCAGGTAGGTGCTGTAACAGCCAGTCTATAGTCATTCCTACTGTCTCAGTCTTGCACTCTCTCTCTCTGGCCCAATGAGTAGTTCAGTATACATAAAGTCTCTGAAAAGTCAGGCCCTAGACATCTTAAAAGTGGGCACCCAAAATTAGTGGACACTTGACCGTTTAAGCCCTAATTTCTCTGTGCCTCCATTAATCATCTGTAAAATGGAGCTAGTAATGCCATATTATCTCACAAGGGTCTTGTAAAGATAAATTCATTAATATTTGTGAGGTACTGAGATACTCATCACTGCAGTATCATAGAAAAGCCAATAAAGAAATTGATAATTCTGTATTCAGTGCAGGGTTTAAATGATATGCAATAATAAGATATGGGGCAACACTGAATTGTGAAGATAAGATACTTCTGATTAGCTTCCCATTCAGTGAGCATAATCCATCCTGTTCACTGAATGAGGCAGGGGTCCTGGGGAAAAATAGTATGTGCCATCCCCAAGTGAAGAAGGAGATCATCATACCTGAACCATCAGATTGTACATCTAGGCAGAAAAAAAAGGTGAGGCAGGACAAAAGTCCTCCTCGTAGCAGTACTGGCCAAGCCCAAAGGGTTGGAAGACCAAGACGTTTGGAAGCCAGCACAGCCAGAAGAGATGCAGCAGGGGAAGAACTGAACTGCAGTGCCAGTCACCTAACACTTTCTCCACAATGGATTAAGAGCCAGCTGCAAGGCGTTAGAATGTCCATAGTGGGTCAAGACCACTGGTCCCGCTAGCCCTATATCCTGTCTCCTGACAGTGGCCAATGCCAGATGCTTCAGACAGAATGAACAGAACAGAGTAATTTAGAGTTATCCTGCCCTTGTTGTCCAGCCCCAGCTTCTGGCATTTGGAGGTTTAGGGACACCCAGAGCAGGGGATTGTGTCCCTGACCATCTTGGCTAATAGCCACTGATGAACCTATCCTTCAGGAACTTACTTCACCTTCACAACATCCCCCAACAACAAGGTCCACAGGTTGACTGCGCTATGTGATGAAGTACTTTTATCTGTTCTCAATGAGCTGCTTATTAATTTAATCGAGTAACTTCTAGTTTTGTGTTATTTGATGGGGTAAATAACACTTCCCTATTCACTTTCTTGATACCATTCATAATTTTACAGACCTCTATCATATGCCTCCTTAGTCATCTCTTTTCTAAGCTGAACAATCTCAGTCTTTTTAATCTCTCCCCATATGGAAGCTGTTCCAAGCCCCCTAATCATTTTTGTTACCCTTCTCTGCACCTTTTCTTGTTCCAGTATATTGTTTTTGAGATGGGGGGGCAGGGGGGAATGACACACCAAAACTGCATGCAGTATTCAAGGTGTGGTCATACCATGGATTTATATAGCAGCATTATATTTTCTATTTTAAATGGTTCCTAACCATTAGCTTTTTTGTCTACTGTTGCACATTGAGCAGATGTTTTAAGGGGCACTATCCATGATGACTCCAAGATCTCTTTCTTGAGTGTTAACAGTTCATTTGGACCCCATCATTTTGTGCGTATAGGAAGAATTATTTTTTCCAATGTGCATTACGTAGCACTTAACATTTGATTTCATCAGCAACTTTGTCATTGAATCACCCAGTTTGTAACTCTTCACAGTCAGCCCTGGATTTAATTATCTTGAGTAATTTCGTATTGCCTGCAATTTTTGCACTTCACTACTCTCCCATTTTTCCAGATCATTTATGAATATGTTGAACAGCACAGGCCCCAGTACAGACCCTTGGGAGACTCTGCTATTTACTTCTCTCCATTGTGAAAATTGACAATTTATGGCTACCCTTTGTTTCCCATCTTTTAATGAGTTCATGAGATGACCTTCCCTTTTATCCCATTGCTGCTTACTTTGCTTAAGAGCCTTTGGTGAGGGACCTTGTCAAAGGCTTTCTGGAAAGTCCAAGTACACTTTATCCACTTGATCCCCTTCGTTCACATGTTTGATGACTCCCTCAAAGAGTTCTAATAGATTGGGGAGGCATGATTTCCGTTTACAAAAACCGTGTTGACTCCTCCCCAATATATCCTGTTTATATATCTGATTATTCTGTTAATTTTGTTATTTACTATAGTTTCAACCAATTTGCCTGGTACTGAAGTTAGGCTTAGTGGCCTGTGATTGTCAGGATCGCCTCTGGAGCCTTTAAAAAAAATCTGCTACTGGTAAAACATAATCCAGTACAGCCTACTGTGAGTTGGATGCTTTTTGACTAAATCAGGTGTTACATTAATCAGCCTATTTAACAGATGGCTGTAAGGTAGCTAAAGTGATAGGTTACATACTACAGGGAGTAGTTCTGCAATTTCATATTTGAGTTCTGAAGGAAACATCTGATCCAGGTGTCTTACTACAGTTAAATTTGTTCCAAAACCTTCTTTATTGACCCCTCAGTCTAGGGCAGTTCCTCAGATTTTTCACCTAAAAAAAAAAAAGGTTGGTTTGTGGGTATCTCCAGCATATCCTCTGCATTGAAAATCAATGCAAAGAATTAATGTAGCTTCTCCAAAACAGCCTTGTCTTCCTTGAGTGCACCTTCATTACTTTGATTGTCCAGTGGGACCACTGACTGTTTGTCAGGCCTCTAGCTTTTGATGTTCTAAAAAAAATTGCTATTAGCTTTCGTGTCTTTTGCTAGTTGCTCTTCAAATTCTTTTTTGGCTTGCCTAATTATACTTTTACACTTGATTTGCCAGGATTTATGTTCCTTTCTATTTTCCTCGCTACTGTTTGACTTCCAAATTTTAAAGGAGGCCTTTTTGCCTCTAATCACCTCTTTTACTGAGCTGTTTAGCCATCATGGCATTTTTTTTATCCTCTTGATTTTTTTTGAACTTGGCGTATACATTTAGTTTAAGCCCCTATTATGGCAGCAGTGCCAGGTGGAATTTCTCCTTTATGGATATTATTTTTCATTCCACTGTGTATCTGGCATATGTCCCACCAATCAATAGTGGCATTCCCCGTTTAGTGGCTGAGGATCCAACTCGCAGCAAGTCGCACTGGATTATGTGGTACCAGTAGCAGGCCAAACATGCCCAACCTGACAATAAGTGATTATCTACAGATCTAGAACAATCTGTGATTGCCAGTTTCCAGAGGGCGATAGCAGCACATTTATGGACTGATACCATCTCCCTTTTCTTTGACCTTCTTTGAATCTGGATCGCCCACATCCTAGGTGAGTGCCCTAATCACTGGTCTACTTGGGGGGAGGGATAGCTCAGTGGTTTGAGCATTGGCATGCTAAACCCAGGGTTGTGAGCTCAATCCTTGAGGGATCTGGGGCAAAATCAGTACTTGATCCTGCTAGTGAAGGCAGGGGGCTGGACTCAATGACCTTTCAGGGTACCTTCCAGCTCTATGAGATAGATATATCTCCATATATTTATTCTGTACACACATGCACACTCACCCTCTGCTGTCTTATGTATGAGACCTGATCTGATAGGTATGTTCTGAGAATACCTACCAGATCAAACTCCACAGGGGAGTCAGGAGGGGGATCACCTCAACTGGGGCTTAGGCATGAATTAGGGCTCAGAATTGCTTGCTAGCTGTGGGGCAGCATCAGGACTTAGGTGACTTTTTGTATGTCTACTAACAGAAATGTAGGCACCTATAGGGTTAAGCAGCACTGAGTAGTGACTTGGAGGATATCAGGGGCATCCAAATAGAGACTTACAGTCCTAAAGAGACAGTTATGCCACTAA